TGAGTGACTCAGGGTGGGGCCCCAGAAAGCTCACACAAGCGGAGGGAGAGTGGGAGTTTCCAGCCCCACTGGGAGCTCAGGGGAAGAGGGGCACTGGAGAGCAGGTCGTGAACCCAGAGTCTGGAGAGCTTCTGGGTTGGTGGGCGTCAGGGTGTGGGGAAGGGGCTGTTACCTCTGCTCATACCTTGCCCGAACACGTCTGCCATACGGCTGTTCCTGAGCTGTGGTCCGGTCAATAAGCTGGTAAGCGTTAAAGTAAAGTTGAGTTCTGTGACTTGTTCTAAAAAATGATCAAACCTGAGGAGGGGGTTGGGGGGACCCCCACATTTGTAGCTGGTTGGTCAGAAGTACCAGAAGCCCTTGGGACTTGCAACAGGTGTTTGAGGTGGGGACAGTCTTGGGGGCCTGAGCTTGACTCTGTAGGGGTTAGTCTCTGGGGAGTCGGGTCAGAAATGAAGTGCTGGACACCCAGTTGGTACTGGGAACTGCTGTGGAAATGACACGTATTGGCTGCGGTGTCCAAAACGAGACGGCCCGAGTCCAACCCGAGATGCAGCGTGAGTGCCAAATGCATGCCAACTTTTGAGGATTTAGTAGCCACAAAGAATATAAACAATCTGAATGATCTTTTTGTATTGACAACTCATTGATTTGTTATGGGGGATATACCGGGTTAAATATATACCACTGGGGGCCAGACAGTGATGCAGCAGTAAGATGCGACACTCTGTGGAGCAGACACACACCGGAGGTTCATGCCCAGGGGCCTCCCTGGGCATTGCTGGGCATGAGCGTGTCCATGATCCGGGCTGGCTGGGGCAGGGATGGATCGTGGTGTTAGGATCCTCTTCAGGTGTTGTCACTCATGGAATGAATGAATAAACTTAGAAAAAAGTCATATCCTACTTAAAATATATTACAATTAATTTCATCTATTTCTTTTTACTTCTAAAAACGGACACATCCACGGCTTGCTTACATGGCTCTTGAGTGAGCCGCTGTAAATCCTGTCTTCATTGATACCATCTTATTCATTGTTAAATCTTCTCTGTTCCCACTGCTGAGTGTACTTCCTGGTAATCAGCTTAGGATCTTTCAGAAATTCCTTATGGGATGATGGGTTACTTCATAACTCTTAAAGAACTCTTGAGGAGGGACCAGCAGTTAGTGTAATGGCTATGTTCCATGTAGTCGACCACAGTTTGACTCCCGGACCCGGTGGCTTAAACTCACACTGGGCGCATGTGCGTGCATGCCCAAGCTCCTGAGAGGAGAAGGGAAGAGAAGGCATTGCGGTGTGGTCATCCCCCAGGGGGTGATTTCTTGCTTTCTGTCTCATTTTGGCGAGCACACGCACCTTAGAGCAAAAAAGAACTTCTGATAAGATATCTAAAAATGTCAGTTTGCACTGAGAAGCAAACTTACTAAGCCATTAACAGTGCTCGCTGCAGCTCTGCATGGAGCTGCCAGGATGGAGGACTCGGTGTGGGATTAGGTTAGGCTGGGATGTGTGAGCAGGTCTGAGATGCTCCCTGGTCTGCAGCTTTCATGGGCCCAGGTATAGAAGGGCTTTGTCACAGGGGCCACGGGAAGGAGGGGCCCTCTTCAGGCTCCTGCAGGGCACCAGGCCCTGGTGTTCCTTCCTTGGAGCAAGTGTCCTCCTTTTCCCAGCTGAGCCCTGAGGAAGGCACCCAGATGCCAATGCTGTGAACACAGCTCCTCCTCCGCCCCAGTTCCAGGAGTTTCCCTCCTGATTGGATCTCAGGGACAAACAGCAGGGCATGATGGCACGTCACAGGCCAGCCATTAAGGAGAGAGGCCTGGACCAAAAAGGGCCCTTGGCTAGATCAATGGACCCTGTAGACTGAGGAAGACTAAAGGCTCAAGAAAATGCCACTGTCTCACCTCAAGTCTCTGTGACTCTTGGGGGTCCCCTTGCCTGGCTCAGAGAGGGCTCTTGGATATCAAAGGACTTACAGGGTCAACCCTGAGATGAGGACTGGCAGCCCCTGTTGGCTATGGTGAGGAATCTCAAGGAAGTGTTGTCTGGGACAGAAATCACTGATCATCCACTTGTGCTGTTGAACAACTCCCTGAAGCAGAAACCTGCTGCTCAGCGAGACTTCAATATTTCATGCCTAAAATGCTCACAAACTGCCACATGTCATAAGTGGGAAACTGACCCTGAGGAGGTGAAGGATTAACCAATTGCCCACCTTATTAAAGGCGGTGGTAGAACCTTGGCTCGGGTTTCCTACTGGACGGCAGAAGCCAGGAATGGAAGCTCGTGCCAACATGCCCAGCAGCTCTGGTGACTTCCCAGGCAGAGGGCTGTGATGATGTGAGCAGAACCAAGGCACCAAGTGGGCACATTTTTCATCCTTGAGCCTGCAGTGCCATGCAGGAATCCCGTGTGGGCCCTCCTGAATGCTCTGCACTGCAGAATGAAATTTATTTCCCAGTAAACAAGGGATGCTTTTTCTTAAGAAATGAATTTAATTCAAGGTGGTTAGTGAATATAAGGCATGTAATGCCTTCATGAAAGTTAAAAGAATCCAGTTACAAAAGAAGCGCTGTGTACAGTCTCAAATCGCTGAGGGTACAATGGGCTCCGTATTTTACAAAGTACAAAAAAGTATTTCATATACAAAGAAAAATACAAATAATGTGCAAAAACCATTTTCACAGGTGGCAATTTATAAAATGAAAATGATAGAAAAGTCCTTCATTTGTATCATCCCCCAATTTTTATATATAACACAGTTCTTTACCTAGTGGGTAGCTAAATTTAAATTTGAAAATCTGATTTGTGTTTAATCTACAAAGTAGTTTATTTTTTTTAAAAAAAGGGAACCATTTCATTACTGAAATTTTATAAATGAATCAGTTTAGTTAATTTTATATTAAATTATAAGCAGGCTATCTGAAAAACAAGGATATAGAAATCATATATACATATTTTTGAAATATTAGTCTGGTATTTAACATATTAACATTTCAGAACAAATGCAATGCTCCAGCTACCTGTGACTCAGGCTGACGTCAGCGGTTGCGGCAGAGATGCCATTTCTAGTGACAGTCTCACAACATTCCTCGTATCTTGAGCTGAACAAACACAGGGTTATCGAAAGTAAAGAATATCTGAACATGGTTCTGGCTTTCCTGTGCAGAAGTGTTGTTTGGATATCTGGGCACACCACAGTGACCATAGCCGACGTGGCCTGGCCACCTCTGCGCAGCCTCCAACCGCCGGCCTCCGTCTCTCGACATCTTCGCCGCATCAGGAGGTCAGTGCAAGTGTTGTGCTGGGGGTTAGTGCACTCAGCTTTTGCATGTTATTTCGTGTAAGAAGCCGTCAGGGAGCAGAAGAATACACGAGAACATGAAGCTGTGGTTGGGCAGAGCCTCTGCTGTGGAGGACTCAGTCTCTGGGAGCAGTGCACCCCTGCCCTGACTGCTCGCTGTCGCACCACTCCCTGGCCGATCTGTCCATTGTGACATCCTGTGTGTTCCTTCTTGCCTGCCACAGAGCAGGGCTCTTGCTGTGAACCCCAATGGCAGGGCAGGGACCGCAGAAGCACCTTTTGGCAGCACCAGAGAACCGAGCATTTCAAAGGTCAGGTGATAAAAGTAGCGCCTCTGATGGGAAAATCCTATTCTACTTAGAATGTAAGCTAATCTTGGAGGGTTTGACTTTTGCTTGTTAAAAAACTCTCAAATAAAATATGACTTTGAAGAACAAAAGGATTCAGCTTTCATGAAGAAGGGCCTAAGAGGTGGTAGCCATTTTGCCTAGGGCCAGATGACAGTTGGCTCAGGAGGTATTCTTCTGATCCCTAACCACTAAGACCCTGTTAGAACAAGTTAGTGCAAGACACAGTGGCCCCTGCCCAGTCCCGTGGACACACCATTCAGCAACGACTGCAATCCAAGGCTGGGGAAGACTGGGTAGGAGACCTCTGGGGCCATGACCTCACTAGCTCTGGGATTCATGCTCTTTCCTCTCTGGCAGCATGAGTTCCCCCACATCTTCTGCTTGGATTAACCATGGGCATCAGGCATCAGAGATGCAGCTCTGGATCCTGTCCATCCATTGCTGGGCACTCTGTCCATCCTGGGCACAGAAGTTGTACACACGTTTGCTGGTCTTAAGCTACAAAACCAAAGGGCAGAGAACCAGAGATGAAGGGCAGGCTGTTTTATGGCTTTGGGCAATGGCAACTCAATCCCTGGACCTTCTTTTCCATATGGCCCAGAACCTCTACAACATACTGTCATTGCCTTTATAGTCGCTTTACTTTTCTAGTCCCCGAAGTCAGGGTATGTTAATAGAAGGGTACTGGCAGAGGACAGAGACATACTAAGAAAGATTTACTTTGCATCATCCTGAAGTTGCCTCTGACTAAGGAGGGAGGTAAGGAATGGCTGGAGCCTCTGGCCTGGCTCACACACTCAGCACTGCAGAAAAGGTGAGGAAGCTGCCTGTTCTCCAAGGGGAAGCCTGAGAGTCCTCTATGCCAGGAAGTTGGCCTTCATGTCCCTTATTCAGTTGGGCCCATTCTAGAACCCTGGAGTCAGGGAAACGACCTCACAGCCTGAACACGGCCATCGAGATACCTCTGCTCTTTAAGAAGCCCTGCTTGATTCCAGGGACTAGATATGCCTCCTCTTATTATGTGGTCCATAAAATGCTCCTTAGAGGCTGCTGAAGATGTTAGAGCAGTGACTATGTGTGACCAAGGGCAGTCTTTTGTAGATGGTCAAGCATGAAGACCACTGGATATGGAGGGGAGAACGCAACATTGTTCTTGAAGGCTGATAGTGACTGGAATAACTAGCAACACATAATACGGGAGACATCTGCTTCTAGGCATGGTTGGACTCCTTTTGCATAAAGCATATGGACAGCTAGGGGAGGTCAGGGGTGGGGATTGAGCACTGCAGCAACTCCCATGGCCAGGGGTGTCTGCTGTCCATCTGTGGTGTGGTAGCCATTTTGCCTAGGGCCAGATGACAGTTGGCTCAGGAGGTATTCTTCTGATCCCTAACCACTAAGACCCTGTTAGAACAAGTTAGTGCAAGACACAGTGGCCCCTGCCCAGTCCCGTGGACACACCATTCAGCAACGACTGCAATCCAAGGCTGGGGAAGACTGGGTAGGAGACCTCTGGGGCCATGACCTCACTAGCTCTGGGATTCATGCTCTTTCCTCTCTGGCAGCATGAGTTCCCCCACATCTTCTGCTTGGATTAACCATGGGCATCAGGCATCAGAGATGCAGCTCTGGATCCTGTCCATCCATTGCTGGGCACTCTGTCCATCCTGGGCACAGAAGTTGTACACACGTTTGCTGGTCTTAAGCTACAAAACCAAAGGGCAGAGAACCAGAGATGAAGGGCAGGCTGTTTTATGGCTTTGGGCAATGGCAACTCAATCCCTGGACCTTCTTTTCCATATGGCCCAGAACCTCTACAACATACTGTCATTGCCTTTATAGTCGCTTTACTTTTCTAGTCCCCGAAGTCAGGGTATGTTAATAGAAGGGTACTGGCAGAGGACAGAGACATACTAAGAAAGATTTACTTTGCATCATCCTGAAGTTGCCTCTGACTAAGGAGGGAGGTAAGGAATGGCTGGAGCCTCTGGCCTGGCTCACACACTCAGCACTGCAGAAAAGGTGAGGAAGCTGCCTGTTCTCCAAGGGGAAGCCTGAGAGTCCTCTATGCCAGGAAGTTGGCCTTCATGTCCCTTATTCAGTTGGGCCCATTCTAGAACCCTGGAGTCAGGGAAACGACCTCACAGCCTGAACACGGCCATCGAGATACCTCTGCTCTTTAAGAAGCCCTGCTTGATTCCAGGGACTAGATATGCCTCCTCTTATTATGTGGTCCATAAAATGCTCCTTAGAGGCTGCTGAAGATGTTAGAGCAGTGACTATGTGTGACCAAGGGCAGTCTTTTGTAGATGGTCAAGCATGAAGACCACTGGATATGGAGGGGAGAACGCAACATTGTTCTTGAAGGCTGATAGTGACTGGAATAACTAGCAACACATAATACGGGAGACATCTGCTTCTAGGCATGGTTGGACTCCTTTTGCATAAAGCATATGGACAGCTAGGGGAGGTCAGGGGTGGGGATTGAGCACTGCAGCAACTCCCATGGCCAGGGGTGTCTGCTGTCCATCTGTGGTCACCACAAATTGCTCTGACAGGACCTCATAATTCCTGGAGGGGGATGGGATGATGTGCAGACAGAGCCAGGATAAGAGAAACGAGATCAACTTACATCAAAGAAGGCCTTGTCACTTGTGTGCTTTGGAGCTCCCATGCTGGGGCCAGCAGGGATGACCATTTCTACCTCAGCCAGATCGATGTGGCCCTTACAGCTCGTGTCCTCACCCGAGTCATAGTATCGCAGCTGGAACCAAAAGGTTACAGGTGAGAGACAGGAAGGGGTGGGAAGCGATGACAGTATGACTTTTCAACTGTATTTGAATACTTTCTTCTGTATCTTGCTTGTATATGTTAGCTTGTGCCTAAAAGGATACATGAAACATTAATCACATAGATTGTTTCTACTAAGGAGAACAAAGTGGCTGGGAGAAAGGAGCAGAAAAAGACTATGAGCTTTTGGAAATTTGAACAAGTAAATGTTGCACATATTAAAAAAGAAAAATAAGTCAACTAACAACTTTAAAATATATGTAAAATATAAAAAGACAGGTTAATGCTTAGTATAGGTATAGACTTTCTAGAAATTGATAAGAAAAATATTAATAATCTAGTAGAAAAGAACCTCCACAGGCAAGTCAGAGAATAAATATAAATGCCCTATAAACATGTGGAAATATGATCAGGCTCATTAATCAAAAGGAAACAAAATCAATGAGGTTTCACGTTTCACTTAAATTTAAAAACATTAAAAATGGTTGATAATATCTAATAAGGCACGAGGTAATCTCAAACACAATTAGTGGGAATATAATGTTGGAAACTTTTTAGAGAACAACTTGGCAATACCTACTAAAATCTAAAATGTTTATGTCTATTGAAATGATTTTCTCAGGGATCAGCAGATAGCTTAATGGTTACGTCGCTGGACTCTGACTTGAACTGTGGTTCAAGTTCCGGACCTGGCGACTTAAAATTCACTCTGGGCGTGTACACGTGTGTGCCCAAAATCCAAAAAGGAGAATGGAGGAGAAGGGATTGTGGCATGGCCATCCCCCCAGGGGGGGGACTTCTTGCTTCCTGTCTATCCATCTCTCCAGTGAGCACACACACCCTGTAGCAAAAATCTCTCTCTTAAAGAAAAAAATAAAAATAAATGTTTTTCTCACTAGACAGTTACCCAACAGGAACACTCCCACAAACATACAAAGATATATGTATGGAGGTTTCCTTCAGCACTGGTTTTTATCAGCTAAACATTGGAAAGACCTACTTGGTTTTCAATGGAGCGCTGGTTAATTAAATGATAGCCCATCAATAAGATGGGATATTATGAAACTTTTCAAAAAGAATAAGGAAGATCTCTGTATAAACTGGTACAAACATTGTTCAAGATATATTATCTTAAAAAGCAAGGTGCCAAACAGCATGTAGATATAAAATGATTTGTGAAGGGCTGGCCCCACAGCCTAGTGGCTAAGGGAGCCAGACCCCAACGGCCAACCAGGTTAAATCCCAGCCCTGGTAGCTTGAAAACACACCGTGTATACAGGCGTGCGTGCCTCAAAATCCTAACAGGATGGAGAAAATGAAGAAGGGACTGTGGTGTGACCATACCCCACTGAGGGGCCGCGGGGTACTTTCTCTCTCTCCTCTCTGCCTCTCTCTGGTGAGTTCATGTACCTTTTGGCAATAAAAAAATTATTTTTGAAGAACACGATAAATAGCTTAACATTCTACTGTACAGGGGACTTTGAGACCTTTATGAAATGTATGAATTTGGTGTAATAGACACATGTCACCTTCAGGATAAGAAAAAGTGAAAAAAATATTTTTTAGGTGTTTGCCATAGGGTACATGTGCTTCCTAGGAAGAGAGAGAGAGAGAGAGAGAGAGAGAGAGAGAGAGAGAGAGAAACAGTGAAAAATCACACCCCTGGGGGGATGACCACATTGCAATCCCTTCTTTCTCCTTTCAGGATCTTGTGCATGCGTGCACATGTGCTTCGTGTGATCTTTCTTTCTTTCTTTCTTTCTTTCTCGTTCTTTTTTTTTTTGAGAGGTTTTCGCTATAGGGCGCGTGCGCTCGCCAGACAGACAGAGAGAGACAGAGAGACAGAAAGCGAGAAATCCCCCCCCCAGGGGGGATGGTCATGCCGCAATCCCTTCTCCTCCATTCTCCTCTTGGGAGCTTGGGCATGCACGAACACGCGCCTGGCGTGAGTTTTAAGTCACCGGGTCTGGGATGTGAACCACGGTCTACTACGTGGGAGTCCAGCGACATAGCCATTACGCTAAGTGCTGGTTCCCTGCTTTGTGTGGTTTTCAATCCACCAATCTGTGACTTGAACTGGGGTTAGCCATGTGGGAGTCCAGTGCCTTAAACACCACGCTATCAGCTGGCCCCATGAAAAAATATTTTTTAAAATGAAAGATTTTCTGGCGAACAAGCCTTAGTAATGCACAGTCTGTGGATCATATGGGAAATGTTGGATGCCCTGTCACTGTGGTTCCGCCCTCAGATGCCCCCCTAACCACCACCACGACTGCTTCCGTTCAGGCCTGGTAAGAGTAGGACTAAATGGAAAAACTGTATACCTTTTGCGTTAAAAAAATTCAAAATATTGGTAAGAATGTAAGTATAATTCGATGTATTGTAAATTAGGGGAAAATTGTGACATTTTCCCACATTACAGTTAGTGGTTTAATGGACCTTTTCTACATAGTGTAGGCACTGTGATTTGAGAGACACTGTTATTTTAAAGTACAGTCCCCCCCAAGGGTTTCTATTTGAATATTTGAAAATAAATTCTCTGAATTCTCCCAGAGACTGTGTAATCTTTATGGAACCACTCGAGCAGAGGGAAAGGTGATCCCCAACTGCAGTCTTCCTCTGGAAGACGTCTAGATGCGGGTCCGACCAGAGCACTGCGTAGTGTTAAGTTCAGGCTTTCCCGATGTGTGTCCGGCCAGAGCACTGTATAGTGCTAAGTTCAGGGCTTTCCCGACAGATTCCGTTTTATAGATGGATGCATTAAAAATCAAGGCTGCCTGGTCCACTCCAAGAGGCCTGCAGTCAGAACACAGGAGGCCACACTGGTCTCACCAGGGAAGGGTGCAGAGGGGCTGGAGGACTGAGGAGGAATGGCTCTCCCTTGAGGTCACAGAGCAACGATGGTGATACTAAGGACTGGAGGCTGCAACAGCAGCAGGTAAGACCTGGACAACGGGCAGCACATCAGCAAATCTCCTGATAGTCTAGGACCTGCCCACTGTGGATTCCAGGTTCGGGTGGGCACATTCCCTTCTGCCTGTTTTGGGGCCCCTGCTTTCCTCTGTTGCTGGCATCTTTGAGAGAAAGCGGTGCCTTTCTTAGTGACCAGTACAGTGAGGGGCACGGAGTGGCATTCAGGAAACGTTTGTAGAATAGACGAATGCCCTCAGCTTTGGACGGGTGCTTTCTGCCGCAAGGATGAAGGAAACTTGTATTCTGGGGAGCGCTTACATGCACAGGCTCATCTATGCATGCTGTCGGTATGCTGGAGATGGACTGAAAGCTCTCAGCTGCTCCCTGACCTCGGTTTTCACAGCACGCAGCAGATATGAGCCTTAAGAAAAGAGTTCTAGCTCCTGGCCTAGTGTCATGTTAAAAGAACTGGACCCATGTGATCAACTGTAAAATTCAAGTTCCAGACCTGGTGGCTTGAAAATCATGCCAGGCACATGTGCATGCATGCCTAAAATCCTAATGGGAGGGAAAAATGGAAGGGAAGCGTTTGCAGCATGACCACACCCTCTAAAAAGAAGGCGTTCTCTCTTCCCTGTCTGTCTCCTGTGAATGCATGTACCCTCTAGCAAATTACAAAAAATAGTTCTATTGCTCTTAATGCCCTGGGCTTAACCGTCACTGCCTCTGCCTGCGTGCACCAAGCATCAGCTACGTGGAACTTCCCTCAGAAGGCTTCCGCCCTTGCCCATAGACAGCTGGGGCCCCAGAGGAGCCCCCTGGCTGCACAGACAGGCTGTGGGAGCAGTCTGTACCTGAGAACTGTATCTGCCTGCTGAGAGTCACATAACAGCCAGGAACTGAGATTAGCCTAGACTGAAGAGATTTCTTTTGGCTTTTACAGTATTACCTGATGTTTTGTTACATCCAAAACGAACCAACGAGGCTTCCACCCTTTCAGCAAAGCCCCTCTTTTGTAAAGTGTTCCCTCAAAGGACCTAGAAGAAATGACGACAGAACAGTTAAATTTGATTTTTCATTGAAAAAAAAAAAAAAAACCCGCTATAAAGGGGATGTCTGTTGTTGTTTGTCAAGTCTCCTTTTGCACTCGATGATCCAAACAAGGCCAATCAGAGTTCTTGGAATTTTTCTACTAGACCTTTGTGGAAAGACTGCCTCTTTCTGCTGGGATTACTAAACTTAAAGGTTTAGAGCTATTGGTAGCATCGTTGGTGCCCTGATGGAGTTGATGTGACACAGAGGGGAAAGCAAGCCAGGAAAACAGAAGCCCAAAGATACTGTGTGAGAATCGGAAAGCCTGTTATGGTTTGGATAATTGTATGTCCCCAGAGGTTCATGTTTTAGAATGTGGTCTCAGCGGATGATGACGGATGACCCCTAAAAGTTCATGTGTTGAGACTGGTTGTACTATGAGGGTACTGAGTGAAAACTTAATCCCTCTGTGGTATCCCAGGGTAGGGCCCCTGGATGTGATAAGGTCACGCAGTCCTGGTGTGTCTAAAGGAGAATATATGAGGCAGGCAGAGGCCACATGGATACAGACTAGAACCAGGAAAAGCTTCTGGACTGTGACACTGCTCAAGATCCTGCCCTCTGCTATGCTGTAGCCTTGCCAGAAGTTGGGCCTGGATCTCAGACTTCCAAACCATGAGCCAAATAAATACCCATTTCTTTATAAATCACCCAGGCTCAGGGATTTACTTCTGTCAGCAATGCAATAGCAGACTAAGACAATGCCCTTGGCCATACTAGTTCATGTGAGTAAGGTCCCTTTTTGTTTCAGCTAGTATGAGCTGGGTTTCTGATGTTTGCCACTGAGAAAGTGCTGACTAACACACATTCCCTCAAAGCTCTGGCAGACATGAGATAACTGCAATTAGGACTCAACCACAGATAACTACTTTTAGTTGTAATCTTGATTTTTCCTCTTCAAAGAACCATCTAAAACAACATAAAAAAATAATTAAAACAACTCTATTTCAAGCTGATGGAGGGCCTTGCTTATGGAGGGGCCTACGGTTAGGCTTAGGCAGTGTGGGGACAGTCTTTGTACCCAGCAGGGCTTGGAATGTCACCTGTTTTCGTCATTCTTGGAGGTGTACTGGCTATAGAGTGTGGCAGCTCTGCGGTCCACTCCATTGGATGGGGAGATGCTGGCGTTCTGCTCCTCCCCCACGCTGCTGTCTGGGAGGTGCAGGAAAGACCTCTTCTGGTAGGAAGGTAGGTTGGTAGACACAATTCCTGGAGACCCTGATGGGTGTCTTTGGGTCTGAAAAAGACAACAAGAGCTAGGAATGTTTTATAGAGACATTATGCAACAGACCTAATTTCATTTACAAAAAATTAACTCAAGGTGAAAACTAAACTAAGCACAAACACATATGTACAAAGGTATTTACCATGGAATTGTTTATAATGGTAAAAAGCGGGAAATAACAAAATAGTCATTATTAGGGAATTGGTAAAAAACATTTTGGAA